TTTCATATCGAATTCTAGAGATACATCTGAATCTAGACCCGAAGGGTCATTGCTTTGCAGGCCCTTTAAGGGTGACTTTTTGAGTCATAAAAGTCTTGCAAAATATTTTAAAAATAAAACATTACCAATTATCACAAATAATCAGAATTCAGAGTCATTGATTCAAGATATTACAAATAAGCAGAATCTGGAGTCATTGATTCAAGATATTACAAATAAGCAGAATCCGGAGTCATTGATTCAAGATATTATAATAAAAGAGACAATATGCGCTGGCAAGGCTTTAGTTAATGATAAGTATCAGATTCCTCCTTTTATTAAAATTATCATTATTGTAATAATAGTGATATTAATTATTTGGTATATATATAGAAATATTTTTCATCCACTTCTGCCTTCTCGTTCTTTGAACTCGAAGCCAGATTATAGCCACTGTATGACTGCCTCCGACAATTTGTTTTCTGGAATATACTCACAGAGTGAGGGCACTAATATGCCTAAACCGACCATGAACGAACAAAGTGAAGTGAATTATTAGGGGAAAGAAATTTTTTATCCAGTTTATAGAAATTATAGATATAGATTCCCAGGAAGCAGTGCTTCGAGTTTCCAACTCATCTGATATACAAAAAAATCAAAAGAAAGAACTATTGCAGAACAAGCTCAAAGGGTGAACCAAGGATTATGGCTCATTGAGCTTATTTTCAAAGAAAATAAGTTTCACTCTACCACCTATAAAACTTTATCTTATAGATATAGATGAAGCTAATAAACATGAATCAATTCGAAATGTTGGACATCTAGCAATGTCATAGCCTTTCAGTAAAGTATTTACTGGTATGAGTGGTAAAGGTAAGACAAATATAGTTGGAAATCTTGTTCTGGAAGATAAAGCTGAAAATATATACAAAGGTAAAAAAGGAGGATCCCGATATATTAAGTGTGATGATTTGATAGTTTGTGGATTTCATTCAGATGAGCCAAAATGGGCATTTGTTAGATATATGTATGGAGTAATCGCAGGTAATCCTAAAGCACCTTACTATGAAAATATAAGATTCAAATATATCTCACCTGAAAAAATTCCTAGTGTAAAATCATTTTCTTCAGAGAGAAGTACTGTAATTATTTTTGAGGATTTATGTGTAGCCCCCAAGTCCATCCAAAACCGAATTATTCTATTCTTCATACATGGGCGTCATCAGAATATTAGTCCAATTTACATAACACAAAAATATCATCATGTCCTGATAATTATTCATGAAAATCTTACCCACTTAGTTATATTTAATGGGGGCAGTAGTTATCAGGATGTGTCTAAAATAATTGGACGATATACTAATGATATTAAGAATGCATCAATGATTATTAATAGTTACCTTCGAAAAATGAATTTATTGTATTTGATCTTACTAGAGCAGAGGATGATTCATTAGCAATTCGTTTAAAATTCGATACTCTACTGGATTTGCAGAAAGAGATAGAGTTACGTCAAAAGCACAAGATAAAAAATGCATTGCCAGCTGAGCCCACAAATTCTGAACTCAAAAAAACGAAAAATCAGCCACATAAGTGTCCTGCTTTGCAGAAATGAAAAGTCTATTAGTATTAATCCCTTTTTTT